ATAAAATCAACATGCATTTTCTAGTTCTTTGCCATATTTTCTACTTTGATAAAATTCTTAAAAACAAATTTTTGCTTTAAAAAATCTGAAACATAACAAAATGAAAATAATAAGTGGTTAAATATGAGTTAAGTCATTATAAAAGGATTTGCTTCCATTAAAAAATAGGAAAGCAAAACGAACTTCCATAAAGTTAAAAAAAAAAAAAAAACTAAACCAGATAGTTATCCAAGTGTAAATTTACATACAACTTCCAGGAATGTGTTTTGTTTGAAGAATGATGCTCCCATATAAGTAGTAATATGTCAGGGTCTGCATGCTGTATAATGTGCCAGAAGATGTGGCATCTCTCCATAAACATTTTTTTTCTATAAAGCTACTAAATAAAAGACAGAGATTAGCAACCACTTGCTAAAGCTAGGTAAAGTATTGCCAGATTACCTGCATTGTCTAAAAAATAATGAAAGTTCAACATCATAGAACCATGATGTCATTATCATTGGCTCTCTCCAGCTTAACACAGCAGTTTACCTTCTCCTTTCACCTTTACTCTTCTGATTTTCCTTTCAGTCATTTTTGAGGGCAAAGCTGGCTCAGTGCCTCAATAGTTTGGAAAGTGCTTAATGATGCTATTGGAATCAGAAATACAATTAATAAGGAACAAATGGTAGAGCCCTTGGTGTAAGCACCCTGCTTTGTCCTTTACATATATTTGCTTTTGATGAAAAATAATGAAGACTTCCTGAGTTTAGGGACATAATAGCTTCTATTTTCAACAGAGGGTGATTTTTTTTTCCAAGGGCAGAACAAATTACTTAGATTTATTACATATTTTACTCAGTTCATCTACACTCTACCTCATGCGTTGCAAAATAGAATATTTTATTCTCTATTAAAGTCTTTATTTTTTTTTCTAGAATTGCCATTTTTCCTAGCTTAGAGAGTCACTTGGGTTATGGAGACTGGTGTTTGAAGAGATTTTCTATTTTTTATAGCTTCTGTCCTTAGCATACTGGACAGTAATTACATGCACAAGAACATAATAATAATTTTTTTATTAGAAGAATTTATTCCACCCCCTTCTCTTATTTTCACATACTGGGTGCATTATTCTCTTCCAGATCAGTTGCCTTTCATCTCCAATCTTTCAATCATGTCACAAAAGGGGACAAAATCACCCATAAGGTCCCCAAATCTAGGTTTTATGCAAGTGGAATATGTATAATATCTAACTGAAAAAATGAGTTAAACACAGTGTAATAAGTGTATTACATTGATGAAATAAGAATAATAAATATTGTAATATCATAATAATCATCACCTAGCTAAAGGGATGAAAATTATGGGGGCTGTTTGCTCTGGGTTGATGACATTAGATTTCAGATGTCATCTCCTTCATCACCTTGCCTTATGAGAAAATGGAGCATTGAAATGACTGTATATATTGGCCAGAGTGCTAAGCACAGGTCCTGAACCTGAACCCTTTATTTTTCTAAATAATCTGAGAGCCTGTAAGGGCAGTGATATATGTTTGTTAGGAAGGGAATGCTCTATTCTACTCTTGAAAATCTAAAGACAATTAGGAAATATTCTTTCAACCCCTCTCCCCAACTATAGCCTCTTGCCTTTTTTTGATTGACATCAGCTATGAGACTAATTTTAAAATCATACATTTTTTCCTAGCTACAAAATCTAAATTGCACCTAGCAACACTCAACCCTCGGCTCTTGTCTTCCAAACCTTATTTAGTGCTCCCTGGGTCTTTTAGTTAAGGGAACACAATTTCTCTCTTAGCTGTCAGGGAAGTTTTCTCAAAATGTAGAGTCCCAGAAGCAATTTAACCACGTGGATCAAACTGATTAGTCACAAAATCAGGTGCTAATAAGTTACTATTTGATAATCTGATTATCTCGATTAACTGGCTGTTTTATTGAGGGACTTTCTCCCGCTAATAATAACACCTTTCTCGTAAGAGTTTTCAAAGATGGGATGGATTGTCTCATTACAGCTGCTGAATCATTTTAAGTGGTGAAAATTAATGAGGGCTTAAACTCTGAAATTCTATGAACTGATATTTCAATTCAGTCAAAACAGTACATCTAGTTTCTATCTATAGCACTAGTTTCTATCTATAGAGAAAGCATCGAAAAGAAAACCCAATTCATTGGTTAACATGCATGAGTTTCCTTACAATTTCCTCCAGCCCCAAGACAAATGAGTCAATGATTTATTTTTGTGAATGATATTTTTATTATTATTTAAAAACCTGTTTCATAAGAGTTTCCTCTCGGATGTAATAGGAGATAGCATATCTTTTTCGAAGTTTCTTCTTTCCCACATCAAAACATGATGAGCTATAATTTGTGATGTTGTTTCTGGGTCCCTCAAAACCATAGGGTCTTATTAGATATTATTGACACATGTTTAAATTCATTTAAAAGCCTTTGTACATGATTGCTTTCAATTCAAACATTGTATTTTCTTAGGTTATTCTGAACCAAACATAGGCTTTAAAAATTAGATTGTTAACTTTTTTTTTTTGCATTGTGGATATTTAAACCCAGAATTGAAGCTAAAAGAGATTTTTTAAACTCCCATTTCTTCATTCAGCATTAGCCCTCCCTGTGAACTTAAGAATTTACATAAATTCGATCAACATGATTTCCATGTCTTCATCTAAATTATTCATTGAATATTAAATGTTGATACAAATATTGAACAGAACAAGAAAAAGGAAAGTCTGGGGAATATCACATGCTATGATCCCTCTAGAGTGATGTTCTAAAACTTATTACGCTAGCCTTATTTTTAAAGGGGGAAATTTTTCTTCATTCTCAGTGTTGACTTAAGTTTATAATTACTGATTAAGTGCGTACAAATTCTGTATGCATGACACTTATATAAAAATTGCAAATTACAAAAAAAGAAAGAAAAAGTAGCAAATTAAAAGAAGTAGGTATTTTGTTCTTTATTGAATATAGAGCAGTGATGATATAATTACAAGTAGAACTGTTCCAGCTTCACCAGTTTCTTAAATATTAGCAGTGGACTTGGACAGTTGTTTTGACCTCAATAGTAATGGGGATATTTCTAATGCTTCTTCAGTGTGTGCACAATTTGTTTTAAGGCTTTATAAATAACTTCTATCAGATTAAAGGAATGGTATGTATAAAGTATACATACGTATGTGTGCCTGCATAAACACATTATATACACATAATACTCATTTTAAACCTCTTATTAGAGTGAACTTGTTAACAATTTATGTGGGAATTTTTTTTTATCTATACATATAATTGATATGGGCCTTTAGTTTTCTAATTCTGTACTATTCTTCATTCTCTGGCTTAAATATTACAAATATATTTGCCTAATGAATAACTTTGGAAGATACTTTCTTATTCTAATGCTTAGAACATTTCTAAATAAGAAGTATCCTTTCTTGAAAATGTTGCTGAATTCCACATGAACAATGACCTGGACTTAATGCATTTTGGGGGGAAAGCTTGGGAGGAGAGATATTTGAGTACCATTTTAATTACTTAAAAGGATATTGCTATATATATTTATGGAAATTAGCATATTATAAATAGCACATATTTACAATGTACAATTTATTTTTTTGAAAAAAATATATTTGATATAAGTGTATTTGGTATGTTTATGCTTGACATATAGATATAAGCTCTCAAGGAACAGAAAAAATTAATTTTGTAAAAGTCCTATGTATCAATTTTTTAATAAACTATATTTTTATGATCTAATGATAAAATCTTTGCCTAGCTCAAGTTCATAAAGATTCCCCTCCTGTTTTATTCTAAAAGTTTCATGTTTGCATTTTGTTTTTATGTCTACAATTCATTTTCAGTTCATTTTATAGTGTGAAATTATTTTTTTCTTTGCCTATAGATATAAAATCATTCCATGTCATATATGGAAAAGATGATCCTCTATCAATTGAGCCAAACATTTATTGAAAATCACTTATACCTGTGTGTGCACATTTGTGTGTGTGTGTGTGCACGTGTGTGCTTGTGTCTTTTCCTGAACTCTCTTCTGTTGCAACTGTTTTATCTCAACACCAATGCTGTGCTGCTGTATTTGCAATGGGTTTTTAACATGTCTTGAAAGCAGGTAGTGAGTGTTAATACATCAGTTTTGTTTTTCCTTTTTAAAAATTGTTTTAGCTTTTCAAGGTCTGTTGTTTTCCATGCTAGAAAAAGTTTGTCAATTTTTCCAAATATCTGTTGGTATTTTGATTGAGATTGCTCTGGATCCATGATCTATTTGAAGAAAATTGACATCTTAATGATATTGAGTCTTCCAATCTATACACCCAATATATGTCTACATTTATTTTTCACTCCATTAATTCCACTAAGCAGTATTTTGTAGTTTTAAGTGTACTGGTGTTGCATGTATTTTGTTAGGTATGTTGCTAAATAGTTCATAATTTTAGTGCATATATATATATATTTTTCAATTTTTAAATATTACTTTCTAATATATGGTAGGTAGCACAATTGAGTTTTAAACTGATTATGTACTCTGTAACCATGATAGATTCAGTTATCACTTATTGTTTTAAAGATTATTTAGTATTTTATATAGACAATTATTTCATCTGCAAATAGATTTATTCTTCCTTTGTAGTCCGAATGCCTTTTATTATTATGCAAGCCCTATTACACTGGCAGGATATTATAGTCTATTGAGAAAACCATATGCTCTTTTTGTTTGCTTTTAAGTATGTTTATGTGTGAGAACAAATACTCTTGCTTGCAGCATGACCTTAGAGGAAAAGCATTCAGTTTTTCATCATTAAATAGAACGTTAGCTATAGATTTTTTTTTGTCATATGGAGAAACTTTCCATTAAATCACATTTTTCTGGAGAGTTTTTAATATAAAAAATGGACATTGGATTTTTTTGTGGGCATGAATACTGGATTTTGTTAAATATATTTACCATGTTTGTTGAGAAAATTATATGCTCTTTTGTTTGTTTTTGTTTTTAGGTGGTAAATAACATTGATCTCTGCATGTTCAGCAGGGCTTACAATTCTGGAATAAATTCCTGTTGTTCATTGTGACAGGCAGAATGCTAAGATGGTTTCCGAGACTCCTGCTTCAAGGTGCATACAGGCTGTCCTTGAGTGGGGTGGGGTGTGGGAACGGTAAGAAAATCACTACCCAGGTTATATTAGAATGTATGAGAGTTCATGGTAGCAGACTAGAGATAGATTTAATTGTTGGCTTTGAAAAAAATAAATTGCCATGCTTCCAGAAGCCCAAACTGTTAGGACCTGAGGGCAGCATCTAAGAGCTTAGAGTAACCATCAACCAACACCAGCAAGAAAATGAGGACTTTAGTCCTAGAGTCACAGTAAAAAAAAATATATTACCAATAACCTGAATGAGGCCAGGAGAGCACCATGATCCTCAAATGAGATTGCTGCCTTAGTCAGTATCCTGATTTCTGCCTTGTCATACTCTGAGCAGAAGATCAAGCTTAGGTGTCCAGACTCCTGACCCATAGCAACTGTGGGCTAAAAAAATTCATATTATTTTAAGCCACTTAGTTTGTGGTAACTTGTCATACCACAGAAAATGAATAAATTCATCATATGCTCCTATTTTTAGTTATTTATTTGATGCTAGCAGTTGAACCAAAGGGCACTTTACCACTGAGTCACACTCTAATCCCTTTTTATTTTTTATTTTATTATTATTTTTTTTAATTTTGAGACAGTCTTGCTAAGTTTCCAAGGCTGGTTTTGAACTTGTGATCCTTCTGCCTTAGCTTTCTGAGTTGTAGGGATTATAGGTGTGTGCCACTAGACCCCACCATGCTTCTCATATTTTGTTGAATTTTATTTGCTAAAACTCTTTTAAGAACTATTTATAAGTGAGCTAACCCAAATGCCTAAGAATTATCTATATATCTTTGTTATTATTTTCTGATTTCTAATACTGTGGTAAGAAAACATATCTGGTATAGTTAAATCATTTTATACTTAATAGATAGCAGTTTTATCACTTAGAATATTGTCTTTATTAAAACATCTTCCAAATGCATTTTAAAAAGGTATATATTCTTCTGTTGTAGGGTAGAACATTCTTTAAATATCAACTGGGGTTGAAGTTGTTTGACAATATGTGTTATAAAAATTCAGAACGGGAACCACTGGGCAGGATAGATTCCAAGTTTCTTAGATGACTCAATTTGTCTTTACATCCCACATAGACATTTTTCTTAAAGCTGCAATTGGTCTTTTGGGTGGAGATTTTAAATCACTTTTCAAAAAAAAAAGCAGCATTTTATTACATTCTGGAACAAAGGAGGAAGCTCAATCTCTTTCTTTTCTTTGTTTTTTTTTTTTTTTAATAGGAAGCTCAATTTCTATGTGGTTGATATGAGGCAAAGGAGGTTTTCTGTATCTGCTCATCCGGCATCTTGGGCCAAACCTAATTTACATTTTTTTTTTTTTTTGCTTGAACCACAATCATTCCATTTTTCCATTTCAGAGAATTATTATTATTTGAATAAATGTGTTAGATGAGGTGGTGACAACAGTGTTAAAGTTTAGTTTGCTAATTTAGAACAATAAGCCCTCTTCCTTAGCCCAATATCCACTTTTGAGAGACGATTGAATAGAAGTTTTGATAACATTGTGTAGCATTCTTATTAATGTTAAGATATGGTTTTGGGGTACTATTGAAAATGCTATTTGAAGAATTTTCAATTCATTTATCAGTATTATTAGAAACAGGAATTGAAAATGAATTCATTGAGTTTTTCTTCTAAGCAGTAATAAATTATTGGAAGTTGCAAGAATAGGACTGATTCTCCTATGGGCAGATCCTTTGGTTTTCGCATGTTCATAAACCCACAGGCCTGTGATATTTCAATTATTATTTCAACTATTTTTCAAATTACTTTAGAAATTTAGTCCAACCTCTCATGGACTTCTTACAGCACACAGGCACAGTTGTGCACATACCAGCAAACATGAGCACTAAATTTACATGATAGTATTTAATTATAAAGTAAGAATGTCAATAATTCAGAATGTAATTATTTTAATTTTTATAATTAATATTAAAATTAAGTCACCAAATTTTAAACATTATTAAAGAGCACATTTGGAGAAAGATTATTTTAGACTCTAGTATATATCTTCAACTAAGTATAGGGAATTAAGGAAACTAAGAAGGTTAGTATTGTGTTGAGGGATGAAGCCAAATCAAATTGGTACATCATAGATTTCTTGGATTTTTCCAAGCAGTTGGGTCTTGGCATCAGACTCTCCCTCCTTAGTAGTGTGCCCTTCACACTGAGCATCTGTCCTAGAGTGATCTGTGAGCAGCAGTAAATGAAGTAAGGTTAGGAATTTTTTTGAGTTAAGTTTTAGTGAGGATCACATACTTCATCTTAAGTAAAATTCCCTTTCTTTGTTCTTTAGACATACAGTAATACTAGATGAAATATAGAAAATAGAACCACAAGGTATAGCTTGCTTCAGAATGTTACCACAATTCAGCACAGAACAGACACACACACATGGGAATTGAGAGGGTCATTTGGTCCTCAGCAAGTATGGAGGAAGCAATAGCTGGAGGTTTAACACATGCAAAATGTGGAAAGGTAGGTGGAGTTCAGCACCTGAAATGTTTTTGAAAGGAGGCTGGGAAATTGCTAACCTAGTGCTTTGGGTTATAACTTTCTAGGAAACTTTGGGTTTAGGGAAGTAGGAGGAGAAAGACAAAGCCTCAAGATGAAAAACTGATTCAAGTCATTCAGTGGCTCACAGGTTAGACCTGCTGATGTCACAAGTAGCACCCAGTACAAGAGTTCTAAATACCTTTATTAAACTAGAATAAGAACTGGAGGCCCAATGCTTCAGGCAATCACAAATTACAGATTCAGAGGGAAAGAAAGCAAACCAATAACACAATGAACTGGTGCTCTTCAATAATGTTTGTTCCCTTCCTCTCACCATGTATGAAGTGTAATTTCTCTCCTCCTGCCCATATGTTGTGTTTTGTGGTTTTCTTAGGCCAATGGGATATTAACAGATATGATACAAAAGCAGCATGAATTGTGTAATCATCATCACATGAGAACCTGTAGGGCCTTACCTGATGGTCCAAGAAGAATGAAAGCAATATAGGTACGCAGGGAGCCAAATTTGAGACAAGCCCAAACACTTAGATCCAAGACCCCCCCCCACTGAGGACCTGCAGATCAATAAGAATAAATGATTGTTGTCTTAAACATTGAGATTTGGTGTGGTTTAATTTTGAGCATGGCTGTGCTTACAATTAAACACATTAAAGAACCTACTCTCCAAAATATAACTTAAAGTGATTGAAATTCCCAAATCTAGAATCTATATAAATTTCTCAAATGCACATAAGTGTAATAAAGATATGGGAGAAAGTAAAAAAAATAGAATTAATCCACTTCTGATGTAAATAATTCTGAAAATTCAATGAAGACTTTAACGTGAAAGCATTAAGATGTTTGCAAAAGACTGAGTACCTGTGCCTCCCACCCCCATCAATTTCATATGTTGAAAGCTAATCCCCAGCACTATGGTATTTGGTGTTGGGACCTTTGGGGAGTGATTAAATAATGAAGGTGAACACTGATGAATGGGATCACTGTCCTTATAAAAAGGATCCTATAGAGTTTCCTCACTTTTTCCATCATGTGAGGACACAGTGAGAAGGCAGCCATCTGTGAGCTAGGAACTAGGCCCTTACTAGATACTGACCTTGCTTGGGGACGTAATTTTGGATTTCTGAGCCTCTACACCTGTGAGTTTTCCATCTGATTCAATTCATGCTCCAGGGCAAAAAAGTTCTCCTCAGGGGTCATAGTTAGAGTAAGACCCAAAGATTGGTAACACCTTGCCCCTGCCAAGGAGACCAGCCTTAGCTGCTTCTAATCATACAGCAATTTACACCTCAGCACGTTGTCAAAAGTTATAGAGGAGACGTCTAGCAATTAGTGAAGGCGAACAGCCATGTGTGATATCCATTAAGGCAGACAATTTAGAAGCTTAATTGGAGATCAGGGAAGGAGATAGTAAAAGAGGCTTGCTAAAGTCACAGACATCTCTGGGGGTCAGGAAGACCAATCGTGTACTCAAGTCTGGGTTATCTGAGGAGTTCGGTCAGAAGATATAAACTTTGTAGGAAATGGACCTCATCAAACTATTCTAGCGGCATCACTTTAACAAAAACAAGCAGATCAGCAAACAATAAGCCACAGAGGGGGGGAAAGAATATTCAGGGTTTCTACAATATATTCTATAAAATGTCCAGTTCAAAAATTATGAAACATGAAAAGAACAGAAAAGTGTGACCCATATATGGGAGGAAAAATAGGCAATAGAACAACAAAAACCCCACTACCTTAGAAGAGGCCAATATATTAGGCTTAGCAGACTACCTATAAGTAGCTATTATAACCTGCAAAAAATAGATAAATTCCTATAAATATACAACTTGCCAGGACAGAATTATGAAGACATGCAAAATCTAAACAGGTCAGTAATGAGAAAACATATTGAATATGCAATAAAATATCTCCCATTAGAACCCAGAAGTTTGTATAACTACTGAATCCTAACAAATAATTAAATATTTAATATCATTGTTTCTCAAACTCTTGCCAAAATCAAGAGGGGGGAATACTTTCAAACTCATTCTATGAAATAAGCATATTACCCTGATGCCAAAATCAGACAAAGAGTACCAAAAATATTATGTCATTGATTAACATATAAGCAAAAATCCTTAAGCAATGCTAGCTCACTGAATTCAACATAAGATTAAAAGCTACCATTCTCCATGACCAAATGGGATTTATCCTTGGGATGCAATAGTAGTTCAACATAGACAAATCAATAAATATGATACATTGCATTAACAAGATGAAGGGAAAAAATGACTATCTTGATAGGTGCAGAAAAAGCATTTGACAGGATCAAAATCCTTTTATAACAGATACTTTCAACAAATTAGGCACAGAAGGAATGTATTTCAACACAATAAAGGTCAGATATGACAAGCCCAGAGCTTGACGTTAATTCAACAGTGAAAATCTGGAAGCTTTCTTTCTAGGATCAGGAAGCAAGACAAGGATGACTGCTCTCACTACTTATACTCAATCTAACCAGAGCAATTAGGCAAGGAAAAAAAAAAAAAAAAACAAGGCATCCAAACTTGGAAGGAAGAATTCAAATTATCTTATTTGCAGATTACATGATTATAAGCATAGAAAACCCTAAAGATACCACCAAAAAAAAAAAAAAACTCAGAATGAAAAACAATTAGAAATATTGTAGGATTCAAAACTAACATACAAAAATCAGCAACATTTCTATAAGATTAATAGTGAACTATCCTAAGAAGATATTAAGAAAATCCCATTTATAATAGTATTTTAAAATAAATAAATATTTAGTAAAATAATAAATGAAGGAAATGGACAAAACCTCATAGAATTGTGGGATACTATTATGTGCAACAACATGATAAAAAGGGAAATGAGTAGAAAATATATTCGAAATAATAATGTTTATAAACTTCTTAACAAGAACTCAGTGGTAGATTTAAACAAACGGGTATTCTCATCACATTTATGTTGGTGGGCCTAATGTGTACCACATTCTCTGAAGGTCTATTCAATATTTTCCTACATTGTGGAAAAATTTCAAAATTCTTATGTCATATGCTCCAATCTCCCGATCTAAAATTTCACCTGCAAAATTTCACCTGCTTTTACTGAGAAAATATAAATCATTTGGAGAGGTCAATTTTTAGCTATCAGACTTGCAACAATATTTTTCCCAACAGTTTCTTGTTCTTTCTCACTGTATGTTTGAAACAGACACATGAACTCACATGTATATGTACACACCCTCATGGTCAGCTTACTTTGGTATCTTGGCATTATGTTTGCCAGTATAAGTTCAGTCTAACTTTTATATATGTAACATTAATATTTTTACATGCATGGCCATAATTTCCCATTTGTAATCAGCTATACGCTATTAAATTTATTGTTGACACTAAAAATATGAAACCACTGGGATTTTTGTGTTTTTGTTATTTACTTAGCTGTACTTTTAAAAAATTATAAATTTATAAACTTCTATTTATTTGAATGCATTTAACTTCTGTTATCCTTTAGATATCATCATGGAGCTTTCTGTATTGTTTTTCTCTTAGTAGCTTGAAATATACAGTTTAATATCCAGGGTACATTTATGATTATGCTTGACCTTCTATTTCTTGGATATTTTACTATATTTATACAACATGTACTAAGTGCCAGATACTTTACTAAGAACCTACATTTACTACAGCCACTATTTAATTAGTTTATCAATCCATGAGATATAATTGTCTTCTACATTTTATTGTTGAGAAAATAGGCTTAGGTGATTTCCTAAAGGCACATACCTTTTGGCAAAAGTGAAATTTAAAACATGGCCTGTGTGAATCCAAAGCTGTGATGCTTTTACTATAATATGCTGTCTCTTAGATGCAAACTCTAAGGTGATGTTAATTCTTATCTCCAAAGTTAAAAGTTTGTGGTTTTGATTATGTCTTTTATATTGTTGAAATTTCATGGCAGCTACCTGGGGTTCCAACAGCATGTCTTAGAGGAACAGAAAGCCTTACCTGATTTCCTGATGAATTCAAGGGCTTATTAATATGAGGAATGTCAAAAGGAGCTATTCCAGAGTTTCTTAAGATTTTAAAAAAGTTTTTATTAAGCATTTTTTAAAAAAGAAAAGATGCATCATTATTAAGTTACTAAGTTAAATCAAGACAAGGGAAAAAGAGAAAAAACTAAAAGTAAAAAAAAAAATCACTTAGTATTTATTGAGCTCTTTCCATACAAAAGATATTAAATTGAAGGTCTTACACAAATAATTTAACCTATCATATAAAAAATTAAACCCTAATGTCCCATATTGTTATTCCCATTTTACAGATAGCAGAGTGAACCCTGGAGGGCTGAAGAAATTATTTAGCATTTACATGATGAATAACTACTGTTGGGGATGTTTTCTCATCTAGCTTTATCTGAAATCAAACTTTGTATTCTTAATCATTATGCAACTCTAGGAACTATCTATCATAAAAATTAACAAAACCATAAAAGCAACTCAGACATTAAATTAGTTCTTGTATAAATTTTTTATTATTTAGTTATGTGTGTCAAGAGCCAAATATATGCACTAAAAAAAGTTTTCCCACTGTTTCAGGATTCAGAGCTGAATGCAATATGATAAAATAATAAGAGATATTTGTTAAGTGCCAGAAAAGACACACACCATGGTAATGGATAGTACCTCAGAGTTCAAGCTCTCTTAAGTCACACTCATGATGGGATGCACATGCTATGGAAGAATTGGTAATAAACTTGGAAGTGCTTGAAATTATAGGATTTTCAGTTAAAAGAAAAAAAAGGAAAATTTTTTAACTGAAAATTTCATGATTTCAAGCATTTTAGGATTAGGTGTTTAATGCTTAAATGGAATATGTAAAGATTAATCTGAGGATATCTTTAAATGAACAAAAAAATTAAAATAGTCCCCTCTACTTCTTGAATATTTTTACTATGATAGCATCGCTATACTATTCCTAAAGACCAAAAATCCACTTTCTTTCTCAGGTTTATCACTAATTCAACAAACATTGTTATATATCCTGATGTGACTAAGGATGAATTAGAACGGTCCCAAAAAATATTTTTTGTATAGTACTGGGGATCAAACTCAGGCCCTCATGCTCATGCATGTCAGGCAAACACTCTACCATTGAGCTACATGTCCAACCCTTTTTGTTTTATTTTGAAATGGCATCTTGCTAAATTGTCAAGGCTACCCTCAAACTTGCAATCCTCCTGCCTTAGCCTCCTGAGTTGTTGGAATTACAGTCATGCCTCACCTTGCTTGGTTCACTGAACATGGCCTAAAGTAGTAGCTTCTTATGCTTCAATGATCTTTTTGTGGAATTGATGTTACTGGCTCCAACTGGCTGGAGGGGCAGGCAAGAGAAACCTTCACACACTAGAAGGATTAGTACTGTACTTCCTAAGGCAAAAAAAATCAGACTCATTCAGGTTGAAAGAAGCAAAAAGTGATTCTTGCTTTTATAAACATATTTTCCCTAATAAAGCATGATATCAAAGTTTAAATGTATAAAAGTGTGCTAATTATGTGCTATATAAAAAAGGCTTTCAGACAGATTTTTTTTTCTTTCCTGTTTTTCTCTTTTTCCTTTCCTCCTCTCTCTATCTTTCTTCCTGCATTTTTTTGTTACTCTTTCATCTGTTTTCTATAACATCTTATTCTTATATTCTTTTCATTTCCTTTCATTTTTTTCTTAATCCATTCTCTTCTTTGGCTAATTTATTTCAAAGAGAATTTTTTGCAACAGAATTATTTGGGAGAGGTTGTCTGTATCTGTTAACAAGCAATACTACATGAATGTGTGCATCTCTGATTTTGACTTTGTCTACTTGGAGTCCTTCACTGTTCAGCCAAAGAATGGTGTCCTTGAATGGCATATGGGTGAAGAAATTTATTTTCTTTTGTCAATATTTATGCTTCTATTGACCTATATAGAAAGAACAAATCCAATTATAGTAACTCTGACATGCACTGAAGAGTAATCATACTTAGAAAACACTTGATATCATGTGCTTCATCTATAAGGTTGGTGATTTCTTACTTCTTTTCCTGGAAGCAAAACATCTACCCTAGGGTGTAACAGTTTAGAACTGTTGGGTGTTATGGTGATGGGTGATAAGTACACTCTCTGGCCCCATCACCATAACACCCAACAGAGAAGAGTCATGGCAACTGTCCCTGTTACTTCAGCCTGGGCCCAGACATTCCTGATTTGTGTGTGTGTGTGTGTGTGTGTGTGTGTGTGTGTGTGTGTATACACACACATAGAGAGAGAAAGGAGAATTAATTATTGACTCTTTTACTATTGGAAATGTTGATATTTCACTCTTGAGATCTTCTTGTTCAAGGCTTGAACAGTTAATCTCTGAGAAGAATAGGGCTGGGGTTGAAGAATGAAGCTTCTATTTCTCATACAATCTGAAGACTTACATTTCAGAAATGACTTGGCATCTACTGGGACCCTGGAATTTGCTTTTTAAAACTAGAAAATACAAATCTCCTGCTATGTGAGAGATTACCTTAATCCCTGAGCCTGTTTTCCATTGCTGGTATATGGAAAAGCAACAGTGTGAAATTATTTTAACACCATGTCAGATGAAAGGAGAAAAGGATGCATTCTCTTTTTGGTAAGAATGACATGAACTTATTATTAGGAATGCTTGCTACCTGTTTGCAAGCATTTTTCCTAGTGGAAACTCCCATGCCTGATATGGAGGAGGTAGAGAGAAAAATAAAAACAAAAACAGAAGCAAAAATCTGGGTTGATTTTACCAGGTTCTTGGCTTACAAGTGGCAACCCTCTAAGTGAATGAAAAAAAGATGAAGTGAGCTTCAGAGACTAGACCAATAAGCAAACACAACCCAATTCAGATGAGCGGAAAGTAGTCAATGAGCAATCATGAGAGCAAATGGTCACCTGACATGGCAAGATTCATAACTACGAGAATCTGAAGGTAGGGACGAGGTCTTTGTAGTGAAGGGGGCCTTGGAAAGGACGAGGTTAAAAGGAGAATAGATAGCAAGTGAGAGAGAGAAAAACAGAAAACTAGAGGTACGGGAAAACAGAGCAAGAGACAGAGAATGATACAGGGGCTACCAACTCAATCAAGGGATCACTATGATCCAGGCAGCATGGAGGCTGTACTTCCACTTAGATACAGTCAGGTGGTCAAGTGTCAGCTGAAGCTTGGGAAAGAATATGTATCATATAAATTTTATTGATTGATTGATTGATTTTTGTGGTGCTGGGGATGGAACCCAGGGGTCTTATACCACTGAGCCATATCCTACTCCTTTAAATTTTATTTTGAGGTAGATTGTCACTAAGTTGCCCAGGCTGGTCTCAAACTTGTGACTTTCCTGCCTCAACCTCTCTAGTCATTGGGATTTCGAGGCATGGGTGACCACATGGGTGTTATCAGTTGGATTTTAAATGCACTGTTATGGAAGGAGGTGGTGCAGAGGACTAAAAAAAAAAAAATAAGCAGGATTAATATCTTCAGTGACATTTTGGGAGTAAAGAAGACTATAGAAATATTCATCTAACTATGACAGATACTTTATGCAGTACTAGTATTATTTTTCAATCCAAATATAAGTTATATTGAAAAGTTTTCCCTACACAAAGGTAACCTAGGGCCAGAAAATTACACTGGCTTCCTACAGTTATCCCATTCCAGTTTTTTTGATATGTCATATTTCACATGAATCCTATTTTCCTTGTTTTTGTGTGCCTGTCTTTGAACCTGACATCTTGATAGAAACCCTGTGATGGTATAGAAGCATAATCTGTCTCAGTAGTTTCTTATTTTTATGATTCTAGGGATCAAACCCAGGGCCTTGCACATTCTAGAAAAGCATCTACCATTGACCTACCTCCCCACCCCACAATGGTTTATCTTTTATTAGCTTTTCTTCCATTTCACATGAGTAGAACTAGTACAGATATGACAAGGAGGGGCACACATAACTTTTCTGTGGCTTTTCTACTATTCATAACCATTCTATATGAAATTCAGAAGCAAAAGACCAATTGTCTATTTCTTTCTAATTCCTTTATTCTTGTTTCCATATTTGTTCTCCTTTTATCATACTATTCCCTCTCTTTTCTTCTATCTTTGAGGACGGGCAGATTGGCCAGCATCTGAGATGCCACTCACATAGGAAGCAGGACACTGGATGGAGGGAGAGCTCCTTTACAAGCCAAGTCTCAGGCACTGATTGGCTCAAACAGCAGAAG